GAAACGCTCTAGCATTACAAGAAGTTAGTAAAAATTTTTAATTAAAATAATTTAGGGTCTGAGGAGATGGCTCAGATGGTAATATGCTTGCTTCACAAGCATAAGGACCTGAGTTCAGATCCCTAGCATCCACAGAAAAAGCAAGGCATGGTGATATGTACTTGTAACTCTAGTGTAGAGAGGCAGAGTATCCCTGGGGCTTGCTGGCTAGCCAGTCTAGCCGATTAGTGACCTCCAGGTTCACTGAGAGACCCTCCCTCAAAAACTAAAGAGTAATTAAGGAAGATATACAACAATTACTTATGGCCTCCACATGCACACACATACACACAGTCTCATCAGCTTAATACAGACATGCACATATGTGTATTTTAAAAGGAGCAAACTTTCTCAGTCCATTAAAACACAAAGCACATATAGAATTGCTACTTAGATGAAGACAGTTGTTTTTTTTTTGTTTGTTTTGTTTTGTTTTGTTTTGTGGTGCTGAGGACCTAGCATAGGGCTTCACACATGGTAGGCAGATGTACAGGGTTTCTAAATTGGTTTAGCCAAAGGCTTTGGAAGGCCTTGTTGGAACTATGACACAGTTCAAAGGATGCAGTGGAATGGGATGAGATAGTCCAAAAGAAGCTAAGATTACACGCCCTGGAATTGCATTGCTGAATTCCACCTTAGTGACCATAGGCTAGTTATATGACCTCAGGAAGCCTCCTGGTCTCTATTTGCAGAGGGTCAAGTCTTATAACAGCTAAAATGCCTCTACTGAAAGCACTTTATGGGCCAGTAAGACGGCTCAGCAGGTAAAGGCACTTGGCTGCCATCCTGACAACTTGAGGTCCATTCCCAGAATTGACTCACTCAAGTTGTCCTGTCTTTGCCACATATATACACATGTACATATGCACACAAAATAATGAATGTAGCCGGGCGTTGGTGGTGCACGCCTTTAATCCCAGCACTAGGGAGGCAGAGGCAGGTGGATCTCGGTGAGTTTGAGACCAGCCTGGTCTACAAGAGCTAGTACCAGGACAGTCTCCAAAGCCACAGAGAAACCCTGCCTCGACACCCCACCCCAAAAAAATGAATGTAAAGAATTTTAAAGGCCATTTATTTTTTCCATACAAAGGCCTGGATGGAGTTAGTAATCTAAATTTCTATGCAGAGGGTCTGCTTATTGAACATCTGTTGTGCCCCAAGAAAAAAAGATGAGGAAGGGAAACTTGCTTCCTTTGCTGGAGTTCCATCAAGGGAGACACAGTAGAAGAATTGTAGAGTGGATATTCAAACAATTACTTGAGCTGAGTTGCTGAGCATGGATGGCATGGGCAACCATGGCTCACAGCTGAATGAAGCATAAGCAGCCGTAGGATGAACACCCCTGGCTCTTTAGAGATTTTGAGTGAACTCTAATTTTCATTCATTTTAAAACAGAAATTAAGATTCACACTCCCTTAAACATTTTGAGTCTTCTCACTTTCCCCAAAAGTCCCAGGAAGGAGATTGCAAAACATGACGCCTGTCCTTGCTGTTCTGAGGTGCCTTATGTTAGGCTATGTTTCAGCATGGTTGAAGGTGACTGGCCAGCTGGGATGTGGGAAGTCCCTTTTCATCTTTGGTAGAGTCACATTATTTATTTGTGTGACTATTTATGGTTACTTGCCTTAAAATGTGGCCAGATCTGAGGAAGAATTGGTAGAAAATCCAGGAATTTTAGAGGAAGGAGGACTTTTTAAACTTTGGTAAAGAAGGCAGACTTTCCTAGAGTCACTTTGTGAGTGAGATACTGTTTTGTTGCTATGATGTATAGTGAACGTGTTAACTTTCTGATGACTATAAGTCAACCTGCCCTATCTCAGCTGTTGCCAAAGTCTTCCACATAAGCGAGGTAGGCAGGAGAAGGCATTCTGGTCACCATGAGGGTAAACACTAGTGACTCTAGGTGAACACCCTGTGCCTCACTCAGATCCTCTGTTGATTAGTGATCTGTGGTAGTCATGACCCTGGGCTCTGCAGGTCCCGGCTAGGCACTTGGTCTCTGACTGGGATTAATATCTTTACCACTGTGTTCTTCTGCACAAGAATAACAGCGGTGCCTCGCCTGTTGAAGCCATATGTGTTAAGTGCTTGGGTCAGCACCTAATGCATGATGAATGTCACCAAAGTCTGAACTAGCACAGGGTTCTTACTGTGTGCCGGACATTCTTCCATGCACTTTACCTGTTAGCATTACATCTTAATCATGATCTCTAAAGGAGGTACTCTTATTATTATCATCACCACTTTCTGGTGAGGAAACTGAGACTCAAAAGGATTGAATGACTGGCATGAGGCTATGGAGTCAATGAGGAATGGAGCTGGAATTTGGGCAGTCAAAGCCAAGAGATCTTATATCTAGCCTTTGCAGCATTTGGTCTTGGGCTGATAGGAAATCCACTGGTGAGTTCTGTTCTTACTCTTTGTGTTAGCTAGTTTCCCTTTATTGTAACAAATACCTGTGACAGATCAGCTAAAATGAAGAAACATTTATTTTGGCTCAAGGTTTTGGAGATTTGAGCCCCTGGCTGGTTGGTTTCCTTGCTTTAGATGCAAAGAGTATTATGGTGAGAGATTAATAGCAGAAGAGAAGTAATTTGTGACCACTTCATGGCCAGATGCAAAAGACAGAGAAGAAGAAAGCAGTGTCCCACAGTTCCCTTCAAGGGCATGTCCCCAGTAATCAAGACCTTCCATAAGACTTCACATCCTAAAGAATTTATCACTTCTCAATTGTGTCATGCCAGGGACTAAGACTTTAACATGCATGCCTTAGGAGGACATCCAAGATCTAAATGATTACATCCCTGTTTTACAAATGCAAAATTAAGACTTGTAGTATAACCTGGAAGGGGGAAAGCCTAGAGTCCTCAACCCCAGACAAAGAACTACAGAAATGCTGAGAGCCAGAGAAATAATCTTCCTTGGGGAAGAGCACACTAATTGCTTATCCAATACCAAACAGTCAGCCCTGAAAACATACACATACAAGTAACATTATATGGACTGAGACAGTTATATATGTGTGTATATGTGTGCATATATACATTTATAGGTGTAACAACAATTAAAGAAAAAGAGGCCATGGATTTGAATAAGAACATGGGAGAGTTTGGAGGGAGGAAAGAGAAAGAGGGAAATAATATAATTCTAATGTAATCTCAAAAAATATGTAAATAAAAAACTTTCAGCTTTTAGACCTATTTAGAACTAATGTGTTTCTAACAATACCAAAAGCTTTTCGACTATCATTGTTTCTGATTTCCAGACTGTAGAACTCATGGAGACTATCTCTAATGACACACTTCTCAGCAGGTATGACAGGAATCTAAAGTCTGTGTCTACAAAACCATCAAAGCCGATGACAACTGTTCTTGGCTTTCTAAATGGAAAACCCATGTGTCCTAACAAAATTACATAAGAGCAAAAAAAAAAATTATCTCTTAGAAATAATTATTGAACTTTTTTTTTTGGTTTGGTACTTAATTATAGCTGTTCCTCCCTACTAGTGTCGTAGTGCTTTCCAGCATAGATGTAGTTTAGCAATAACAAAGAAACTCACAGAGCATAAAATGCCAACATAGTTGTTTCACCCAAGAACAGATACCATTGCCTGAAATGAATGGGCAAGAAGATCCCTAATGTTCTTACTGACACAGATTTGAGATGGTGTTTTGTTCCTTTATTATGGCAAGGAATTATTTTATCACTTTAGCTCAGTAATAACCTGTTTTATCTTATTTTTCATCCAATTAGAGTTGAACTGGATCCTCATGTCAGGGATTGTGTTCAGACTTATATTCGAGAGTGGCTGATTGTGAACCGGAAGTAAGTTTATCCCTCTTTATTTTTATATAATTTATATAAATGTAAATTTTGCATTGTTAGTGTTTCTTTGTTTTCCAAATTAAATGACTTATTGGGGGCATGGTTAGAGTTACAGAAAAACTGAACAGAAAGTCCTGGGATTTCCCCTATCCCCCTCTAGATCGTCACTCATGCTGGTCACACTGGGCTACATCCCCAGTCCTAGCATAGGTTTTTGAACTACATATTTGATGTGTTTTGACTAATGCATAATGAAATGCTTCTGTTCTTACATCATCAAACAAAAGGGGTTTGCTGCCCTAAGAATCCTGGTGTTCCCCTTGTTCCTGCCCCCACACTCATTGGTCAAGAATCCTGGTGTTCTCCCTGCTCCTACCCCCATGCTCATAGGTCTATACCAGTCTTCTTCCTAGTCTTTGATTTCCCCTTTCTCCATCTTGTCTCCTCGTGGCTTCATCCCTTACTTCCTGTTATCACAGAAGAAAAGATTTTATGTTGTACTGATATACTACAGTCTGTTTACCTATTCAGTTAGGAAAAAAAATCACATTCTAAACATGAGTAGAATTGCTTCTTAGCCAGTTACAACTACTCAGGAGGCTGAGGCAGGAGGATACTTTGAACCTAAAAGTTCAAAGCCAACTTGAGCAGCATGACAAGACCCTGTCTCCCCCCAAAAAATAATAAAAAAAAGGAGCACATCTTTTTGTTTCTTTTTTACTTTTGATGAATTCCCAGATAAAAGATAGTTAGTGAATTGAAACTTGGCCTCAGATTTAAAGATGGTACTAGAATTTGTGACCCCAAAATAAATTACTTGCTGGTCTTCCTATCAAGACAGCATTTTTTCTCTGGGGACATCAAACATTTTGTGACATTTTTTCTCAACGTTTCTGTCCCCATACTAATGAGCTTCACAGAACAATCTTGTGAGAAGTGTTGGGACACAGAAATCCCTGTTGTGTGTGCATGTGCATATTTATGGACCTGTGTGTTGGGAAGTAGACTGTGGGCTGTCTAGAGACTGAGGCCCACTCCACTAGATACTCATCAGAAAGCCTCTGAGACACAAGCAGTTTGCTAAAGGCAGTCTTCCCCTTTCCCTACACTAGCAAGAATTACTGTTCTTGGGGATAAATAATAAAAGGACGCTTGGGATTGGGTTTTATCTAGTTCCTCCAAGTGTGCCATTGAATCTGTGCTAATTTTTTTTTAAGTGAGGTCAGTATGCATACTGTTTCCAGTAGCTGAAGAGAGGAAAGAATCACTTATAAGAAGTAATTACAGCTCAGCTACATGTCAATCTGTCTTCCATTCTACACAAATGGAAAATGAGGTTTGCCAGCAGGCAAATAAGATTATGCCTTGCTTCTTATAAAGGAGAGATTTCAGAACAAGTTGTTCTCAAGCTTCAAAATGTTATAATTAGAGGCACTTTTCTGGGCATTTACAGTTCTAAAAAAAAAAAATCCAAGAGGGAACAATAAACAGAAAGGTCCATTGGACTAAATTTGGTTTTCAGATTTATTTTCTGTTTGGAACACTGTACTTGCTCCCTCCTCATGGTAGTGCACTCTCTTTTTTATTTTAATAAAAAGGGCTTTAGCATGCTCATGACAGAGAGTTTAGAAACTACAGAGAAACAAAACCAAAATACATAAATTTCATTCTATGTAGGTAACCATAATTAATGGTGATAATAGAGGCCTTGAATAAAATTTCTTTGTAGTATATGTTTATAGAAATACTAAATTGGACTCTGGTACAGTTTTATTAGCCTGAATTTTCAATTTTCCCAATAAGGGAGGATTCCTTGTTTTTACTTTTAGTTATTCTTCCTGAACACAGTAACTAATGATTACATAGTACATATATATAATTATTTATGCCCAATTGGTTTTAATATTTAGGGACATCATCCTTTTTGTGTTTGTACTTACATTGCAGCAATGTCCTTCTTACTAACACCCTGTGTTAGTATTGTTATTTTTTCCTGGGGGGGAAAAACTACAATTTCTAAACCTAAGGTGTATGTACAAATTTAAGACTTAATATATTCTGTTTCCTTGTGTGCCCATTTCTTTTTCAGAAGCACTTACCTCTTATGAAAACAGTAACTGTTTATATTGTGTCAAGCATCCTGGCTGAGTTCTCAGCACACTCATGTCATGGACCAGTTCCCTTTCCCCAAACAAGCTAGTTGGCAGAGGGAAACCAAAACTCATTGACAGTTCCTGGCAGTCTTTGACCAGTATCTTACAGAAGGGCACAGTTTTCTACTGCTATATTTGATTCTGTGGTAAAAGTGAATCTGAAATGCTGAGAATGAAAATTACAATCCTAGCACACACTTCTTCTCCCATCAACCATTGAGTGCCTGTGTATTCCCATGATGCTTTATTCATGGGGAAAATCCAGGCACTCTTCATTACCCAATTCCAACTATATTTCCACCACAGCTTTTCAAAAAACATTTTTATTTATTCTTTGGCAATTATATATACACTGTATATCCATAAATATACATATATATGCATGTACATATACAATTATATATGCAATGACCATATCCATTCTCTATTCCCCTGGACACCTCCCCCCAACAACAAACTCCCCCATCCACTTTGGCACGTTTGCTGTCATCAGCTCATGTTCAGGCAGTCATGGTGGTGAGACTTTACAGGAGTCGCTTTGCTAAGAGACACAACTTTATAGCAAATTCCCTCATCCTCTGGCTTTACAACCTCTTCGCAGCCTCTTTTGGAATGTTCCCTGAGCCTTAGGTGTGGGAGTCTTTTTGTACATGTATCTGTTGGGACTTTCTTTTACAACTCAAGATTTTGATTGATTATGGTTTTTCTCCATGGTCTCCATCTATAGTCCTCCTATCTCACCAATGTCTGTCTTTTTATGTGTTATAAGCATACATTATATTCTTCAGTAATGTCTTTGAGACCATATTGTTTCAAAGAATTAGCCTGTTTTGTTTTTGTTTTGAAAGGCTGCCTTGATTTCCTCAGAGGAAAGAATGTACCATGAGTTACCGTATCTTCCTCTATTGATGACTATGTAACTGTCTCCCCTTCCCATGTCGATGAAACATAGTAAAACATCTGCTCTACACATGATTGTCACTATTTCTGAGAGTAGAAATGAGACCCTTGTATCTAATATGTTGTGATTAGTTCTACCAAATCGGTCTTCAGAAAAGCTTCAATAATTCCACTCCATGACCAGCTCAGCATGGAACTACCACTTTCATCCATTTCCTTGCCAATGCTGGATATTATTAATAAAAAATACATTAAATTTCTCCAGTCTTAATTTACCTGTTTTCTGAATGCTGACTTATATATTTGGATTTTATTGCCTTAGTCTAAAATCACAAATATATATATATATATATATATATATATATATATATATATAATAGTATTATATACTACAGAGTATATAATATACACATGCACACAATATATTATATGTATACATGCATATGTTGTATACATTACCTCCATTATATACCATAAAATCCCATCTCTAGGGAGTTGACTAAATGAAATGAAAACCTTTGTTCACATAAAGGTCTCTGTGCAAGTACTTGTAACATTTTTATTTGTAGGTGACAACATTACAAATAACACTGAATGCATTCAATAGGGTAATAAGAAAACAAACTCTGGTGAGTTCATACAATGGGCTACTACTCAGCAATACAATGGAACTTTTAAACCACTATTCTTGCAACACCAGGATGTTACCAGATTCATTGTTCTAAGTAAAATAAGCCAGCCAGTAAATAATTGCATGATTGATTCCATTTATATGACATTCTAGAAAAAGTAAAGTCCTAAAGACAGAAAAGAGGCCAGTGGCTTCCAGAATCTGGAGTTGGGGGAAGGAGTTGAGTACAGAGAGTGTGGGAGAATCTGGAGACTTTGTAGACCTGGCTGGTGTCTTCATTGAAGTAGTGGTTATGAGGCTGTGCTCATTTGTTAAAACTCAGAACTGTGCTCCTAACAGCATGGATTGTAACTGTCATAGTTACTATTCTATTCTTGTGACAAAACACCGTGACCAATTTAGAAAAAGAAATGCTTAACTGGTTTGCTGTTTCAGAGGATTAGAGTCCATGATGGTGGAGCAAAGGGATGATGGCAGGAACCCTGAGAGCTCTCAGCTTGGTCCTTAAGCAGGAAGCAGAGAGAGAACACTAGGAATGGCCCAGTCTTTTGAAACCTCAGAGCCTTCCCACCTCACCCCCAGTGAGACACCTTCTCCAACAAGACTACACCTTCTAATCATTCCCAAACTGCTCACCAAACTGGGGAACAAGTGTTCAAACATAGGATCCTATGGAAACTGTCCTTATTCAAACCACCACAGTAGCTGTATATCACAAGTGTGATGGATAGAAATACAAAATAAAGCAGGTCTATTTTTTTTTCTTTTGCTGTGGTTGATCACACTATTTTTTAGAATGGAACAGGACTGAGTTTACTTTCCATTGCTGTGATAAAACACCAACCAAAAATCAACTTGGGAGAAAGGATTCATTTGGCTTCCATGTTCCTATCACAGTCATCACTGAGAGAAGTTAGGACAGGAACCCAGACGCAGGAACTAAAGCAGAGACCATGGAGGAGCACTGCTGTGATCAAAAGAAACAGCTCTTACCTCAAAGGAATCAGAGACATGGTTTATTCTGGGACAAATATGAACGATCATGGCCAGGGAACATACATTTAGATCTCATCAAATATAATGTTCCAACACGGAAGCAGTTTTGTGGAGTTTTACAGTAACAGAACAAAGAGTTACCAGCCAAGGTATTTTAAAAATACATTAGTGGATGCATCAGAGTGGTGAGTTACAGCAAGATGGGAAGAAATCTACATGCCTTGGAGATTGTCTGATGACATTCTTTGCTTTTGGCTTGATGGAAGCTAGTGATCTGATAAGTTAAATTCCAAAACATTTTTATTTATTAGTCACAGGATGTTAATTCCAACACAGAGGTCAGCCAGGAATAGCTAATGGGGGACTAAAGCTAGCCCAAGAAA